GAAGGCTCTTCCTGATGGGTTTAGACTGGGTGCTAAGACTTTAATAGTTTGAGTCAGTAGGTGAATCCCACCCTAAATTACATGTCTGAGCAAGAGACCTATTTTTAGAATACTGAGCCTTCAAATTCTAAAAGGCCATATTTTAGTTTTCACTCTGAGCCATGGACTTAAGCAAAACCACAGCTCAACACAGACAGGAAAGAACAGTAAGGCTGAAATATTACACCCAACCCAAAACTTGCTGCTCCACTTACCTGGCCATTGCACCTCAGATCTTCTACACACTGTCCTTCCTGGAAACACAACAAAATGGGTATTTGGCCATTCTCCTCCTTCTTTCCCTTTCAATATTCCTGGAGTCTTCAATCCCCTGCAAAGCAGGACTTTAAACCAGATTCTAGTGCTAAAACATTGAGAAGAGCAGCATCGTGACCCCAACTTCACTGTGTTGTCTCTCGACATCTCACTCCATTTCTGTCTTGCTTTCTCTATCCCCAGCAGTTACTCTGACAGGCTGCAATCACTAGAGACAGACAAAGCACATGCTCTTTGCACTTACAGCCTGGCAGACATCTGCTGGTGGTGTCATAGCTCAAGCCAGGCTAAGTTCCTCACAATTCTCCTCCTAATGCCAACTAAATGCGAATCCTGACCTTTAATTGTTGTGTTTTACTGCTCATGAATCAAGTGATTCTTCCCCACAGGATGCAGCATCCACCCAGTTGCTATTCAGAGTTATGAGCTGCTCTTCCCAACCATGCTTCCCTCTAACCTGAGCACCAATCTGCATTTCCTAAACATGAAGCCTTAAGTAGAAAATAAAACATTCATATGAATCCTTCCAGAGCAGCAATTACCCACTTGCTCATAACCAGTTACCAAAGCAGAACTCTCTTCTAATTCACCCTCTCACCTTTCTAGGTGCAAACCACACAGGGAAGTGCTCAGGCTCTGGGTTCACCTACGGACCTGAATTATTTCACCTTTTGAAGCCACAATCATAAAACCTGCCTTTCCCCTCATGATCCAGCAAAGGCAGGAGCCAAGCTAAGTCTCAGCAGTGACACAGCCAAGCAGCAGAGAACAGAAACAACCTGGTGAGTCCCACTGCTCAAGGTGAACACCACATGTCCCCCCAACAGATCTACTGGGGCATTAAACCCCCCAAAATTGGCAGGTATAGAACAACCAGAGAACAAGAACCCTGCAAATGGGCAGATATGAACAATCAGGACTCCTCTTCCCTTGTCATCACACCCTCAAGCACTCAAACACAGCTGAAAAGAAAAAGCACCCACCAGGAACATCCACTGCTGCCAGCACCAACAGCCACGTGACTTCACCTGCTCTGAGTCGGGCTGGGGACAAGGAGCACCACATCCTGGTGCCCAAAGATGGCCAGGTAAGCACACCCTGTTTCAGAAGGAAGAAGCCAGGGCTGAGTACCAAGAGAGCCGTGGCTGAGCCCAGGGCAGAGCCAATCCCCTCCTGTGTGTGCAGCTCATGGGGCCACCCTGGCTGTACAGCCCTGATGCTCCTGGCAGCCACACACAGCAGGTAAGCTCTGCCCTCCTCACCAAACCCCCCTCAGCTGGATTCCACCTGCAACCAGCAGCAACACACTGCTTGAACCACGATTGCAAAGCTGCTCTCAGGAGGATTCGATTCAGTGACAAGCCCAAGTCCTTGCTGGCTCAGGACAGCAAAGAGCCACATCCATCATCACCACAGAGCCAGCACTGGCTTCACCTGAGAAACGTCCTGAGCTGGTCAAAATTCATTCTCATCACTGCATCATTACCCTACACAACACACTTCCCTCATCTCCCACCCCCATGAGGAAAACCCCCAAATTGCTCAGCTGGTTCCCTGTCACAATAAGTGTCACAGACATGTTTTGTGAAAAATCCTTTCCTTAGGATTTTTTCTCCTGAGAAGCCAAGAAGCCTCAAGAACAAAATGTAAACAATGATTATCTGTGCTGTGGAATGCAACAGGTGCATCTGTGATTGGTCTCATGTGGTTGTTTCTAATTAATGGCCAATCACAGTCCAGCTGTCCAGACGGTCTCGGTCAGTCACAAGCCTTTGTTACAACTTCTTTTCTATTCTTAGCTCACCTTCTGATGAAATCCTTTCTTCTATTATTTTAGTATAGTTTTAATATAATATATATCATAAAATAATAAATCAAACCTCCTGAAACACAGAGTCAACTTTCTCATCTCTTCCCTCATCCTTAGACCCCTGCAAACACCACCACACAATAAGCAAGGCAGGATGGCTCAGTTCAGCACAAACACATAGCACAAGGTTTGGGCCTCTCCATCTATTTCCTCATAAGCAACGAGAGCTCAACAGCAGTGCCACATGCTGCACCTGGGAACAGGACATCCAAAAAATTTCTCTGCTCCAGCTTCTTTGAGAGAAAGAACTCACTATCTGCCATTCTGAGCCTCCAATGTTACCTGTGTGACCAAACCCTGAAACAACAGATGCCTCGAGATTTTGAACTTCTCATGATCAGTCTTGCACTGCATTTTCATAAATAAACAAGTGACAATATTGCCAGTGGACTGTCAGATCCTGTCCTGGCAGGATTTCCCCACTCCCAGCATCTCCCAGCCAAAGGATACAGACTGGTAGCACACACAGATGTAAATGAACTATCCCAGGAAGAAGCTCTTCTGGAGAGCCTCAGTCCTGTGTCACAGGCTGCTACAAAGCACATGACTGAGCCTACAGGGCTCACATGGACTCTCCTACTCCCACAGGCCCTGAACAATTTGCAACAAAGCTCCCTCTCACAGCTGTGTCTCACATCCCTGTCACCCCTGTGGTAGCTCCTGGCTCCTGAACCTGTCAGTGCACTCTGCATCAGCCCAACCCACACTCTGGGCCAGGGCATTTACACTCCTTCTGCCTCCCCAAAACCTCTCCTCATGCAGGAGAGTGGGAACGGAAAAGTCAGGGAAGAGCTACAGCATCTCTCCACATGTTCCAGCAGAGGATGCCATAGCACATATATGATGCTTCAACATAGGTAAATGCTGAAAATGCATCCCAAAGATCTGGGAAATTAGTACTATCCCACCAGCTGAAAACCTCCTGCTAACCCTTCCATGCTGCCTTCCTTCTTTAAAGCAACTCCCACCCTATATTTCCTGTATTTGTAACTACCAAAGTTTATTTAGTGGTATGCAACACCATGTGAAATGCTTTACAAAAGTTCATGTAAATGGGAGTTATTGAATTTTAAACATCTACTTACTTACTATTCTCAAAGTAACTTACCAAATTAATTATTCTGTGACAAAATGTATTTGAACATTTTCAGTTAGCTCTGTATCTTTAAATTCTGTTATTCAGAATTTGAAGCATATGGCTTTAGAGAAGTTTTTTGACCATGCCTTGGTGGGATGGAGCCTCCTCAGTTCAGAGCCCCTTGGAAGAAGCTGCCACAGCCTTCATTCCCTAGCTCAGCACTTTGCAGGGCAAGTGTCCTGTCTATGGAAACACATGGTGCACAGGGATCAGTTTAACAGGGGTGTGCCAGCCCATGCCATACACTGCACTTTTGTCTGTGATGGGAGATTTCCCACACATGAGACACTGCCAGGAGGGACAATCTGATGTACTTCCTACCAGAATTCTTCTGTTCAAGAATACATCTCTCCTGGGTTTAGTGTGGCCATTACCTTGCAGCTTGCAGGTCCTTGCAGCTCCGCTGCCCAACCTTCTGTAACCAACACGCCACATTCTCCCTTCAGCTCAACATGGAGCTGCTTCCTTCCCCACTTCACAGCTTACAAACAGCTCATCTCCGTCCTGACCTTTGAAAAGTACCTTTGGTTTCTCACCAGTCCTCCGCAACTGCATTTACTGTGATTTTAATATCTTGGATTGGATTTTTGCCTGTGCAGTTTTTTGGCTTTTACCAGGTACATGGACTGACGATCACACCAATAGTTCTGACTAAGAAGGGACTCCAAGGACTGTCCTTCACATGCACAGTCCACACTCTAGTCTAGCTGGCTTTTCAGTTTTAATTCCTACTGTTTTCTTGAGCCCCCAGCTGACCCCAAGCACAAGTCAGTGCACCTTCTGATAAAAATGCCATATTGCACAGCCTGATCCCAACCCTTTAACTGCCCCTTTAGCATGGCTGGAATGGGGACTACAGGAGAACCAGATCCAAGAACTGATCCAGGTTTAAAGGAACCACTGGCAACACTTATCTTTCTTTTAACTAAAGAAATGCCTACCAACAATTTTATCAGCACAAGTAAGATGACAGTGGAGGGTTGGCATAAGATTCTGGACACTGGAGCAACACCAGCACCTAAAACATATCCAGAGCTCACCTTTGGAGCCTTATTTACATCTTCAAAGACATTTGATGATTATGAGGTTTTTTTAGGACCTCAATATCTAAAATCTTCTAATACAAAAACATTTATGAAGCTGTACCATGTAACATTATTCTAATAACCTGTTAAGCTTTCACACAGGATGAAAATGCACCCACTGCAAGGAACTCCTCCTCCATCTCCAATAAGGAACAGCAGATGGACAGTGCCCAGCTAACACCTCAGTCAGCAGCACTGGCCCACAGGCCCCACTGCCTCCCAGCTGTAGCACCAAATGCCAAAGCATTTCTGAGTAAAATCACTTCATCCTTGCCCACGTTACGACATCACACCTCTTTCCCTTGTTTAATTTGTGCACCAAATTAAGCAAACCTTCTGTTAGGACTAGATGCTGTTCACCATCCTCACTGAGCAAAGGGCTGACACAGTTCCTATCAATCAATTGCTGACCCCAACACTCCCAACAGGGATCCTTCCTGTCATGTTTCACAAATTACACCAGGCTGTCTTAATCTCACCAATTCAACAAGTCTGTCCTTTTCTTGTTTTATTCCTTCTTGGATACAAGCAGCTCTCATTTTTCCCTCACCCAAACCCAGAATGGACAATGACAAAGAAGCTGGACATCCAATGCCACGGAGTGGACGTTAGAGACGTTCTTCTGTAACATCAAGATTTGTCATATGAACGTGGAAAGCCTAAAATAAGGGCAAATATTGCATTGCAAACATTTATTCTTCAAGGCCCCCATCAGTCTAACAGGACATGAGGCTCTCACAGCTGAGCACAGAGCACCAAGATGGGAACAGAAGCACAAAACTCCTCAACCAGTTTCCATCATACAGCTCTTGCTCTGCCTTTGAGCATCACTGTGTTGAAGTAAGATCAGACGCACATCAGGGCAGCCAGAATGTTTCCAGAAACTATTACAGTGTTAGAGGCACCACTGCCCTGGAATAAAACACCTGGTGCAAGTCTTTATGAGCTACCTGAGTGACTAAACAAGGCACAGATATCACAGTGAGTCAAATCTCAAACCTGAACTTTGTGTTGCTCAGAAAAGCAGCCCTGAACACTGGACCAAAGCTTTGCCATGTTTTATCTAAAGAAGCATGAGCAGCCCTGCTGTCCCTCGGGATTGCAGTGCAGGGGGCAGGGGGCCTGGCCATGCAGCCCAGGCTGTCGTGCTGTGTGCTGTGGCAGGAGCAGCTCAGCCACTGCCATCCCTCTAGAGCACAGTCCTTCTTGCAGCTGAACTGTCTTCCTTCCTCCAGTCCTGCAGTAAGAAAAGATTAAAACATTAAGACCCATGGAAAACAGTAAAAAAAGAAAGGGGGAAAATACAGAGTAGAGGTGGCTTAAAACAAAATCACTGATTTCTGAAGTCACTGACTCCCCCAGTGCCAGCACTGTATCTCACAGGGAGAAGGGAATGGGAGGTGCTCCCTGAGCAGCAGTGATATGGTACAGTACAGGACCACTGCTGAAAAACAGAGACACAACATACAGATAGGGCAGTTTTCCAGAGTTGGAAAAATATGAAAGCTAAATTCTTTCTAAGATGGGCATTAATTTTCTTAAACTTCCACAGCTTGCTCCTCACATCACTGTAGAGTTGTGACCAATGCCTCAGAAAGCTTTACATAATCTTGTTTTTTCAAGGACATACATTTCTGCACTGTGCAGGATGTGGGACAGTGCAGATGTGCCATTCCACATGTGCTATATATAGCAGAGACAGTGACACACAACTGACAGCAATGTACCTACTCTAAATGTGCAATTCCAGTCTACACGTTGTATTACACACAGGTATTAGATGTGTGTGCACACATACATACAAACATATATGCACTCTGTGTCTCTTGAAAGATGAAAAGCAGAAGGAACAAGCTGGGACAGAAAGGTAAGGCAGGATACATGGTCACAAAAGTGTTTAATCACAAATTCTGCAAGTCCGGTTAGACCAAGCCCCTCTGTGCCAAGACTGAGAAGCACAAGCTACTTACCACAGCTGCTCACGGGCTGCAAGACAGCCTTGGAGTCCTGCCAGTGCCTCCTCCTCCCATGGCAGCAGAGCTGGAGCCCAGGGCAGGAAGCAGCTCAGCACTGCTCACACTGCCCCAGCTCTGCTCCCAAGCCAAACCACTCCTGCTCTGCTCTCCTCTAGGAGCCTTCTCTTGGGGCAGAATCTGTTCCAACACATTCAAACAGTAGGTTTAACAGGTTTGTTAAAGTAGGTCTAACAGCTCCTCTGATCCCTACGCCGAGAACACAGGAAGCCTCAAACTTATTTTTATTAAACTGAGTTCTTTGTAAGCTCTAGTTTGAGCATGCTCCTTTGTAAGCATGGAGCTCCAGCCCTGTAGGGAGAAATCAATTCATTCTGGAAAGGTCAACCTTCAGAACGTTATAAAGCACACTTAAAATTCAAATAAAGAAAATCTGTATTTTAACTGTGCCAAATGTGGTTTAAATTAATTTTGATGCAACGAAACATTATTTGCTAATGAGATGTTAGCACAAGTTATGTTCTGACAAACTAGGTTCAGAGTTCCACTTTGCTCATCACTGTTTCTATACATAAACACTTAAAAAGAAAGGACAAAAAAAGGAACTGTGTCACAATGCAAAGAGCAAAACATTGTGATTTATTCACCTTCATTCAGCTGCTCAGATAACACAGATGTGTTAAACCACTCCCAAATGCTCCACTTCCTGCTGTGAGTACAGGAAGAGGCAGAGGACAGTTTAAGGAAAAGAAAGGCAGTTTCAAAAATCAGGATTCTAAAGAAGAGGAGGTATTTAGGGCCCCCCTGACACTGAGCTGGGGAAGCACAAGGGGAATGAAGGGAGGGGGGAAGGCAGCCAAGCTTTCCTGAAATAGCTGCTCACTGCCACTGCTGGGACAGAATCCGGAGCAAGTGCTCTGTCAGCATGACCCAGGACACTTCTTACAGCCATAGTCTTCCCTTTTTTTTTAAGGATAGGAAACAGAGAGAAAAGGGTTCAGACATCTTTCTTGGACATATCAGTTTAACACCTTTTTTCTCCCTCCCTCCCTCTTTTGCTGTTCTGGAAATGAAAGGGGTGAAATTTGGAAGCAGGATACACAAGAGCAGAGCAAGGAGGGGGAACAGTCAAAAGCCAGGGAGTCTGCCAGGAATTCTGCAAGAACCAGAGTCCCTGTCTGGGTGTTAATGGGTCTACACAAACTTTTTTTGTTTGCTTTTAAAAAAAGAGACATTTCTGAGGGGCTAGAACTTCTCACGGCCATGTCTGTTATGAAGCTTTTAGGAATTTAATATATTTTTTCCTCATGATTTTTCATAGAAGAAAAGCATGGAAAATACCATAGTGGTCAAAATGAACATGAGCAAAGTGAACCACATGGGATGAACTCTGGTGGGAGCAAAAATGGAGATGGTGCTCCAGCTCCATGCAAAGAAAAACCCAGGAAAGGTCTAAGTCCTGATGAAGCATTCCTGAATACACCAGATGCTGCACATTCAACAATCCACTGATGTAATGTAGGAACAGAAATTCTCAATTCTGCTCTTTACCAATTTAGCTCAACAAATAATTCCATATGGTGAACAGCGCTGAACTGAGAAATTCCCATCACAGAAAAAATAACTGCAAATCTAAAAACTCCTGAGTTGGAAGAGATCCTGAGCTGAGGCAGCACTGCCACACGTTCCATGACATCATACATAAAACACCATCTATCTCTTACTTTACATCATTTTTCTCAGTAAGTCTTTAAGAGAAAAATCGGAGGCAATGTGTCAAAGGTACAACAATTAGCCCAGCTTCTCAGAGGGATTATTTCTGCAACTAAAGGACAGGAGGCACCTGCTGAAACGCAGCAGGACAGATTTCAGCTTACCAAAACTAAAAGTTTGTTTTGGTGAAGAAAGGACTGAGACTGGAACCCAGTCTGTGCAGAGCCAGCAGGGTTATATGTGATCCTTCAACCAAAAGGATTTCTGGAGAACACCCCTTACAGAACCTGGCCCAGCCTCACCCAAGGAGCCTGACCTGCACCGATGGTCCCTCCCATGGAATCACAGCTGTCAGGCTGGAAACCCCTCTAAGGCAATGAAGGCCAAGCACCAAGCTGGCAGCAGCACCGTGCTCACCATGGCCCAGGAGCCCTGTGCCACAGCCACGAGCTTTGGAACCCTTCAGGGATGGTGACAACCCTGGCACAACCCACAGAAAACCTTCATCCAGTCTAAACCTCCAATGGGCCAACACGAGGTGTCTCCCCAGGAGCTCCCTGAAGAAGTTTCACACACATTCCTGAGTAACAGTACAGCTGGGCTTTGGGTTTTGTTTAATCAGGAAGGAAAATGTAAGATAAAGACAACAATTTTTCCCCTGAAAAATAAAAAGGAAACTAAGCCCCTGCTTTTAATTCCATCTTTCTAACAAGGCCACAAGTTACAAAATCTTTAGTGGAGGAACCTTGATTGGCCTATTCCTGAACACAGTTCAGATTCTTCTGAAAACATGTCAAATTCCAAACTGCACAATAATAATCCAATTCCTGCAGGGAAAAAAAGACAAAATATGAACAATTAAGTAAAAGCCTAATTCTATTTTGATGTATACATCACCCTTCAACAGGGCTCAAGTAAAAGCATCCCAAGTATATTCCAAACAAGTGCTCAACAAAACCAGCCATGAACATGTGGCAAAAGTACAAAAACTCCTTTGCACTATTAACATAGATAATGTCATTTAAGTCTTAACACCAGTGTAAAATATCTATGAGTTGTTCCATTTAATTTTGAAAATCCATATAGAAAACAATGTTCATAACTCCATCCACAGGATTCTACAAAACTGCTGCTTCATCAACAAATCTTTGAACTGTTTCAATATGAAAACTCATTTTTTTCAAACTGCTCAAAAATCATTGCAGAGAATTTCCAAGCACTTGAATTGAAGCACAACCAAAGTATGAACTTGGTACATTTTTGCAGTTATTTCTAAAATAAGTTAATTTACATAAATCATCTCAAAATAACACAATGGGATTCAACTTCATTTTCGACATTTGGAAAGCAGTGTCATACTTTATTTAAAGTAAACCCATGTAAAAACAAAGTTTAAATGAAAATGGTACCTGAAAAATAAATTATTTGATATAAAACAAATCAATAACTTAAAAACACACTAAATATACAAAATGTGTAACCATATACTGTACAGTATGGAAAGCAATTGATAAAACCTTCTGTCCCACAAACAGATTAATTTATAAACAAAAGATTACATAAGTTAAAGGAAAGGAAATCAATAAAAAGACTAGAAGTACAGTATTATTCAAATTACTCATCAAATAAAGGTTTATCCCAACTTATGTTTCAAATGTCTCAAGTCATTTTCTTCTCAATGACCAAGTGAAAAAGTTCAGCCATACCACTAAAAACTTGCTCAAAAATGTTTAGAAATAAGGAACAACAGTAGGAGAATATTGAGATTCTAAAATGTGAACACAGAAGCAATTTTCCAAGGTTTCAGGTGGCAGTTCTACCATTACTGTTTTCCCATCATTAGCAACAAAAGAGAATTTCAGTGCTGAAAACTCCACTCAACAGAAAAATATTTCTAAACCTTTGTTGCTGTTGGATCGAGTGTGATCTAGAAGGAATCTCCAGAGTTGAATGTCAAACCCACCCATGGGGTGGCGAGTTCTGCTTTAGAGATCATAAAGACTTGGACTGCTTTTAACTCACGTAGGATGAGAAAGCAACACTTTGAGCTTGGTTTGGTTTCACTACATGAGATTACTGCAAACAGCAAGCACTGAGATGGTGCCGTACCTGCTCAAGCTACGAGCGGCCGCTCAGGAATGACCGGCGATTTTCAATCCACCGCTTGTCAGGGAGGCACGGCCTCTTCTGAGCGACAGGGAGGAACTGAGACCCTTTTTATGAACTCCACATGTTTCATTTTTTATATCAGTAAGGAGAAACCCAGTAATAATAAATACAATAATCAGAGAAAATAGCCACTGGCCTCTTGAGCTCTGGATTTATCCATCCTACTGTGCTGAGCAGCCAACCTTGAGAAGTGCAGAGCTACGTTAGAGGAACTTGCCGAAGGCACAGAAAGACTCTCCTGCTTCCAAATAGAGATTAAAATACCTCAGGTGACAAATTCAGCTCTTGGAAAATAAAAACAAAATGAGAAAAAGCCAAAACACAAGTGCAGCTCCACTCAGAGAGCTCAAGGGGTTGGTGTTTCTTTATGCTAAAGGTGAATTTGGTCCCTTCCCTCTAAAGCTATTTGTAGATGCCTAAATGTAGAAATGGAACAATAAGGTGCTTCATTGACAGAGTTAAAAAGAACACATTTCTTCAATATGGAACTAAAAAATACGGTGACCTTCTGACAGAGGCAGCCTCCAGACAAACTGCTCCATGTTTATGTGACTGAACCAGGCTACCAGCAGCTCACAAGAGCTGTGTGTTAAAAATCTCCCACAAACTCTAACCTTCTGCAGGCAGAGCTATCAGAGGAGCTACTTTAAATAAACAGTTTATCACATGACCTGTATATTGTGTTAGAAAAGTAAACATGGGGACTTTCTCCGAGTTTGTTCTTTTAAAGTACATATGTAATGATAAAACTATCCAAAAGGAACTTGAGTTATTGCCATTTAAAATGCACTGAAAAAAAATATCTCCTGAAATATTTGAAGAATTTCTACTTTATTGACCTGACCCAGAACATTAAAGCAACACAGAATTGTAACTAATGTTGAAGGACCTCAAGGACTATTCATTTTCCAAACTCAGCCTTAAAAGAATGGATCACTTTTACTGTAAATTCATCATTTGGTTTTGACTGCTGGATATTCTTTCTATAAATGATACCAAGTTTTTTAAAAACTTTTTTAAAAAAGATTTTTAACTGCTTCTTATAAATAACATTACTGCAATGTTCAATCCCCCTATAAAAATAGGTGTCCTTTCCATGCAAACAGCCTTTGGTCATCTGGACAAGGGCAAGTGACCAAACACTGACCAACCAGTGTTCACTGTGGTGACAATTTATCCTGCTCCAGTGACTTGTCTCTGGATTTTCCATGGTTTTCATACTCACATGATACAGATGTACAAAAAACATATCCAAGCAAATGGAAGGAAGAGCTGTGTGGCCACACACACCACTGTGGTGATGTGACATCTCCCCTCACCTTAGAGCTGGATCCTGAAGCCTTCCCCAGTCCCAGAGCCAGAACAGATGCAGGGACTGGCAGAGGAAGGCTCAGGAGGCAGCAGTAACTGCACTGGCCAGTCTCTGACAGGAGAGTGGAGCAGCTCAAGTAAACCAAATTTTATGATAATGCAGCTTGAAGAATAGAATAAAATAAAATAAATCCAACACTTCAGTGCACAGACACCATCTAACAGGCAATCACTGAGAACTGAACACACTGAGCTGTTCTGATTCTGCTCATGTCTGGATTTCTGGTGTTGCCATCCCCTCACCTGAAGGATCTGCATGTGCCTTTGCCTGCTCACACCAAGCACATACAGAGATTCCTCTTCCACATTTCTGTGGCATTTCCCTATCTGCTGATGGTTAACAGGAGGTTTACAGGTGCTGAGGCTCATGGCCAGCGTTCTGCACTGGGGTGAATTCCATTCATGTGGACATCTGAGAAGCAAATGCAGTGACTCCCCTCAGCATCTACACATGAGACCCTGAGACAGCAGCATGAACAACTGTGTTTTCAGCAGAAATTACACCTGCTCCTTCAGAACCTACACCAGGGGCTGTCCCAAGAGACTCTTAACCTACTCTAAAGGACCCCAAAACACTCCCACCTCAGCTGCTCCTCTAGCACATCTCACAGCACAGACCAAAAAATTCAGGTCTCCAGAATCTGATTAGCACATCCCAGTCCAGCAACGAAGACTTTCCAGAACTCTCTACCTCAGTGAGAATTGCTCACAACGAGCAATGTGAGACCCCTGCTTTGAGACAGCCTTTGGTTCTAAGATCCTCTAAGTGCTTACTGATAGAGGCATCACCTGATAGAAACACCTGGCTTCCACCAAATGGATGGATGAAAAAGCTGAGCACTCTGAGAATTAAAAGGCCAAAAACTCTCTTGAAACAGGTCTGTTCAAGTGAGAGCTTCAAAGCAGGGTGAGGAGGAAATCAGTTGCTCCGGCCTTTTGTGCAGAAAAACTCCTGGTAGATGTCTTGTTAGACTTTAGTTTCCGACCCCAGAAGCTTCCTTTTGTTCTTTACTAGTAGGATGCACAAGCATTTTGGTTTAGGACCAAAAGCATCCAGTATACATACACAATTTTTTCTGGACTTCAGCTATTTATGCCAAGATTTTACTGACTGTTAGAATAGCACAAATTATACACTACTTCTGGTATCAGCTCTGGATAATAGCAGGAGTTTTTCCTCTTTTCCTGACTCGAGGAGCAGTGCTTTGCTCATAGCAATTGCCTGAAAATTATCAAAGCAACTATCAAAGAAAGCTGGAATCAGACCTTTCCTAAAAGAGATTGTTGTAGTAGCAGTACAAAACCATATCCTGCACTTACCTAGCAAAGAATGAGAGATGGAAAAATAGGGAAGCAGTGGAAAAAGAAAGGAACAGTGATGCCAGAGAGCATTCAAGAGAAGGGGGTTCTTCAAAAGTGGCAGCACAGCAATGTGCTGCTGCCATGGCCAGTGTGCTTGGAACCAGTACTGACAGAGTCATGTTTAGGGGTCACTCCTGCAAGTCTGAACCCCCACTAAATATTGTGATAAACAGCAGCTCCCATTTTAGTTTAGCAGCAAATTTATCTTAAATGGAATAAAACAAGAGAGAATGACAGGAACTGGGAATGACTACAGCCCACTCCTGTGGAACAGGACAGTGCAGGTTCAACAATGATGGGACATGTAAGAGAACTTCTCTGTACTACACAGCTTTAACTTGGGAGGATGCCCAGAGAGCTTCCCAAGCTCTCCTTGTACGCAGAAAGGAAATAATCATAGACATGGTAAATGGATGGTGATGAACTGGTGGAAGGAAACCTCTGACAGCCAAGAGCAGCTCTGGGGGCTGGGAATGGCCTGGCTGCTGTGTCACAGTCACTGTTCCACCGAGCATCTCAAGAGATGGGGAGGGAACAGGCTGGCAGGAGAGGCAAGGTTGGATGCTTTAACAGGAAAAATCCCACCTGCATTCACTGCACACAAGCTCAAACTCAGTGGAAGGCTGCTCGCTGGGCCAAGGCCTATCTGTAGGGTTTAGATATGTCCTGGGCAGGTCCAGGAACATCAGCAGCTGCCACAGGTCCTCCCTGGAGCTGGGCACCAGCTCAGCCACACGTGGAGGCTGAGGGAGCCCTCAGGCTGTGCAGACCCCATGGCAGGGAGAGGACAAGGAGAGGACAAACGGCGGCAAGCAGAAGGCAAGGTCAGCTGGGGATGGAGTGAGACGAGCAGGCAGCATGGACTGGCCTCTCGAGTTTGGAAATGAACTCTGGGGCTGGTAGAGATCCAGGCAAAACAAGGAGACACTGCATTAATCTGCCACAGACCTCATTTCCACACCTGCCCTGCCTACATTAACACCAGAGCCAAGTCTCTAGCTGTGCACAGCAGCTCACACACCTGTACAGGCATGGTCAGCTTCCCCAGTGTCCTACCCAAGCACACCTGAGGGTTACACCAGTCTGTGACACTCATTTCTATGTGACAGATTTATTGTGGTGCTTGTTTCAAAACTCTTTTCTTCTACTCATCTGTCAAAGCAGTAAATTAAAATTCTCTCAAAGCCGAGCTACAGTTCCTTAAACAGCACTCTGAAAGCTGGACACTTTGTGCAATACTTAGCAAAAAAAAGAACAGAAAATAAAAAACAAAACAAAATTTGAGCAAAACAAAATCAAATTTAATGTTCTTAAATGCAAAAGTAAAAACAAACAAAAAACACAAAAAAGCAAAAGAAAATTAACAGAAACAGAACAACTCAAAGTTTCAAGGCAGTCTGCAGAAAACCTGGGGGATTAATCTTTAAATCTACAAATCAAAGGGGTTTTTTGGTTAATATCTAACTTGCAAGTTGTAAGTACTTTTCTGCTGAGTGTTCAGTAAGTCAAGCTAGTTGTCAAAACAAAATCCTATTAAAATAGAAAAACTAGCACTCATTAGAAGGGATGCGAGAAATACAATGCTCAAATGTTTATAACTGGTTTTTCTTTACAAAATAGAACTGCCAAAGGAATTCCAACTACAATGATCTTGGAAAATGAGTAAGTATCTTGCTGCATTATAATGTACCAGTAAGTAGTGCACCATGCATTAAATATTTGGACAGAAGAGATTCAGTCTGATAAAGTAGCAACATATATTCACACTTGCTTTTTTGGAGTTTCATTTTGACTCTGAAATCTTCCTGGAGTTTCTCTGAAACTCTTTGGTCCATTCCTCTCAAAGTGGGTTTTAAAAGTCACATTTCTAAAACCTGTGAATTGGACAGCTTGGCCACTGCTCAGTGTGCAACTTACCTCCTCAATGGTGTTAAAAGTTAGGCTGGCATGCTACTACTTACAAGACCTTGACTTTAAAAAGCCTGATCCTCAACTAGACACAGAGTAATGAATATTAATTTATCAAACAATTTACTGTCAACTAAAACATTAGTATTTCTCAACTTTTCTTCCATACTACTGAAACTGAGGGAGAACAAAAGGACAGGGGGATGGGTAGGAAGAACAACATAAACCCAAAGAAAATCAATGAATTCAGCCTGATATTTTTCAGAAAATTCCAGTTTTTGCAAACAACATTCAATGAAACAAATGTTAGTCTCATAAGTGAAAGCATGCTTCAATTTTACCACCATCCAGAGGGTCTAGTTAATGCAATCTACTTAAGATTTCAGGGGATTTTTAACATGTTTTAAATGAAATAACTTAAAGGAACTTAAAATTGGTCTAACATTGTGGGATTTCAAACATTTGAACATGTCAGTTGCATCCCAGAATATAAAACCTTTTCACTTCTCATTTAGACTAAGACAAACACTTGTGAAAATTGGCGCAAAATGAGTTTTACACTAACAAAAATGTTTCAACTTCTGTCACTCCATTATCTATTCCATACAAAAAGCACGAGCAAGTTATTTGTGGGACTTGTTGGTTTTGAAGGAAACCTGTAAGATTTTGTCCCCCAGGCGGTAGCCATTAAGACTTGCTATGGCCATTGCAGCTTCTTCATAGTTTGTCATGGTCACAAAACCAAAACCTTTGCACTTGTTGGTGTTGAAATCTCGAATAACTTTCACATTGGTAACCGCACCAAAGGGGCCAAACATCTGCCAGAGGATTCCCTCATCAGCATCTTGACCAAGGTTGTAGATGAAGATACACCAGCCAGAAGATGCGTTTCCTGGAACATTTACACCAGAAAGCCCACTCATGTGATCTACACCCATAGGAGAGAACCTAGCAAATAAAAAGCACAATATTTCATGTTCAATTAAGCAAATTAACTTGAATGGGAAGCAACTGAGAATGAATATTTTATACATGGCACATCAAAACCGCCACATAAATGTTTCCCCATTCAAATTGACAATCAAATTGACAGCTGCCAGAAAAAAAAAAGTTAAGTATTCCAACTGCTTTATCAACAGGGAACTATCCTTAGAAATAGGCAAGGAACAGGCAAGGCAAGATTACATAATCACCTTCCCAGGGGAGCTGGATGGATGCCTGAGCTCAGCCAGGCCGCTCTGAGTGTCCAGGGCATTGCTGCAGAACTGCTTGAGTTCAGGGGCACAGGCAGCACCTCCCAGAGGCCCCAGGCACCTCCCACTTATTGCACAGAAGGAGATTTTCTTTCACCCCATGCTCCTTTTCTTGCCTCTAAAAGAACGTGCTGGGAAACTCTTTAAGTTAAAGAGTTTCTTTGGATTTGTTGGGGCAGGGGATGAGTGTTCTGGGTTCTTGGGAGTAGAGATTGTATGTATTAATTTCCTCTTTTGTGAAGCAGAACAAAACCTACTTCCTTTCCACCCAAAGGCAGCAGGTGCAGGCAAACGCTCACAACATGAGCAGGCTCAGTGCAGTTTTATTATTCCAGTGTGTATGGATGGTTTTAATAATTTTTCCAGGAAAACTCAGATCTGACTTTACTGAACTCGATTTTTAAAATCACCTACCCATTCTTCCTGAATCCTGCCTCCTTCACAATACCTCAGCAGGATTCATGCATAACAAAAAGCAAAAATCTTCTCCTTTTTATGTCTCGTTTTGTATTAATTTATTTTCCCTAAAACCCACATTTCTAATTCCCCTTTATTCTATTTCTGGCCTAAACTCCAGAAAATCAAAGCTTCTGAATATTTTAGTGCAATATTAGGGTTGCACAGCTAAGCACTCAAAGGCCAGGAAATGTGAAAGTTAATGTCAAAAACGCACTTTGAACCCTTGTGCTTATTTATTATTTAAAAATATGAGGTCATGTGATCATAGAAATATAATGATACTATACCAGGGGTTCCCAAATTGAGGTGTACCACTGGTGATTTGCAAACCCCTTAAAAGCGGTACACGAGCTGCTCTCTGCCAAGAGCAGGGCGGTGGCAGATCCTGATTCTCTGCTGACCTGGAGGAAACAGGGAAGGGATGTCTGGGCAGTGAATGCTGCAGAAAGTGCCAAATGCTTCCCCTCTGACTCTTTCTTGCCCTGCATCAAGGAGCTGCTGCTGCCTTTCTTGAGGAGGGAGGGCTCGAGGAGTACGGGGAGGGAGGGGAGCAGAGGGATGGCAGTGCACACTCACACACACACACACACACACACACAGTGCACTCACACACCAGAACCACTCAGTGCCCATCTCCCCCAGGCTCTCTGGTGCCCAGAGCTCCCTGCCTTGGACACCTGAGCTGCTGGACTCTCCTGTCCCCAGAGCAAGTGTCACTCCATCCCTCCCTCGCTGCTGCTCTGCAGCCCTGGGGCTCCCGGAGCACAATGGCACTGCTGAGCTGCAGCACCTCACTGACAGCCAGCCCCACGAAAAAACAAGTTTGGGAAGCCTTGTACTACAGCCAAACTGAAAAAGCAGTTAGAAGTACCACAAGGTGAATGAGACATACCAACCCGTATGATCTGATGAAGAGGTGACACATCTGGTATTTCTTTTGGCTTTGTATAAAAACGTTCCTGTGCGTGCATGCTTGATACACTTACTTGTTCTGACAGACACCTTCAGTTGTGTAGCTTCTTTCCAAGTGAGTAATAATCTGGTAGGATGAATTTATCTTAATATCTGTCAAGTTTCCATCTCAACAGATCACCAGTCCTGAATCCCTTCTCAAACCACTGAGCTCAGAATTGCCTGACGTTGGTTCCAGCAGTCACTATAGCTCTGCCCCTGCCTGCTCCAAAGGCTCAGGCTCTGCCCAGGAGCCCAGGTAACACCAAATCATGATACTGCATATCCCAAGCAATCACTTGTAGAAGAGCAATGGTGTTAAATGCAAGAAAACAAATCTAAATGCTTGTTACAGACAAAATAATTTAAAATACCAAGTACCTCTGCTTTTGGATACATTTATCTTCAAACAGATTGTCCTCTCTTCCTGCTTTTTTCACAAAAATGTTACAGGTTTATTAAAATACCCAAACCAAACAAAACAGGGTAAAACCAAAGAAGTCCCTTGAAAGATTAGAAAAGTAACTAAAAAAACCAAACAACCAACCTGTAGGAAATACTATTCAGCTAATCTGATGAATGTCTGCTCTCACTCTGCACAAGAGGGACCCCAGATCTCTCACTCAGCCCAGGGTAACAGCGTGCATGAGCAGGGCTGGAGCAGCTGACACACAGCTCCCTGTCCCACCAGGACACATTTTTGTGGCCACGCCAATTGAAGATGACCTTTAGGAAGTTACACTTATTAAGGATGTTTAAAAGAATGCCCTACACTATGGCAAACACGAAGACCAACAGAGATCCAGGATGTTTCAGAGAACGTGGTTTTACAATTCCTTTAATACTGTAATTTGAACAACCTCAGCATTAGCACACTTATAGCTGGTGTTCTCATTTCTGTTGAAATTATTTTTATACTGTCTCCTCCACACTGCTTTTTCAACCCTCCCAAAGAGTCTGTAGCCAGTGTTATTTGTGGATGGTTCTTTCCAGCCATGCTAACCTAATAAGCCACATCTTGGGGCATTAGGTATCAACAAGAGTGCATTTTCCATCGTAACTCTTTTTCACTTTATAAGCTTCTTGTTTCTATCAATGACCTTTTGCTCCCTCTGTCATTAGACAGACAGCCTGCTTTGTTTAACAGATTTTGAGATTACTCAGAAATGACAGCCCTAAATGAAAGCAGTTTCTTTTTAGGTCTATGCAAGTCCTATAAATTCTTTTCATAGAACCACAGAAACTCCTGAGCTGGGAGGGACCCTCAGGGATGATCAGCCCAGCCCCTGTCCCTGCACAGCCACCCCAACACCCCCACCCTGAGCAGCCCTGGGAGCTCCTGCAGCTCTGGCAGCCTTGGCACCATTCCCTGGGCAGCCTGGGCAGTGCCCAGCAGCATCGGGGGGCAGAACCTTGCCCTAATATCCAACCTAAACCTCCCCTAACACAGCTTTGTGCTGGTTTTGCTGAACTCTTTTGCCCGCACTCTGAGGACAGTTCCATACAGCACCACAGGTGGGATGCCAATAAGCAGGAACATTAGTTTTAATCCCAGTCTGTGTTGCCATTGCACTTGAGCTTGGCAGCTTTTTATTTTTTAATTGTTCCACAAAGAGCAGCTCAGCTACACTGACAATGTCCTTCTGACAAGCAACTTTTCCTGCTGTCTTTGTTACAGACAGAAAAGATCTGCTGTGGCCAACACAAATCTTGTTGAGAACTCAGGGACACAAGCTCTAAGCCTGAAAAAAAATCATGGTGTTGGGTCAAACAACCACGTAAGGAAGAACAAAAACAACTGGGATTTCACTCCCATATTCTTCCAGAACTTTGATGAAATGCTACTCTGGATGAAATGGCTTGTACTCAGTACACACAGCTTGCATCCAAATTATACATTGGTTTAAAACTGAAAATTTAAACAATTTCACTGGAATGATACCAAGCAGGTGTAGAGGAGCGGTCTGAGCAATCTTATCACTGGCAGGGTTAAACAGTCCTCTTTCCATGTCCCTGTGAATCTAAGAACTATCAGAAATGGCTCCCCTTCAGGCACTCAGGGCAGATTCAGGGCAGAACTCATGGGCTGATACTGGCAGAGTTATGCCCATTACAGGAACTGGGAACTGGCTCCAACCCTGAACAAGTGTGAAAGCACTATCAGCTGAACTGGCAATAACTGAGGTTTGTTGTTCTACTATAAAGCTCTGGTGAGCTGCAGAAGCACAGCACTTCCAGGGGCCCTGAGCAGCCTCCTCATGCTACAGGAGCTAAACCCCTCCATTTCATCACAGTTCAGCACCTGGAGATCTGCTATTTTCTTTAAGTAAACAAATCTTACACTCTAAGGAAACCCCCACCCCAGATGTGTTATCTGTCCTCCAGACAAGCTCATGCTGTGGCATCATTCCCTCTGGATGGAAGCAGAGAGCCTGGTCTTTGAATTAGTCCAGAATCCAGTGGGACACAGCCCTAAGACCAGCTCCTGATGTGAGCCACAAACACCACAGGAACTCAAAAGGATTAAAAGAACATTAAACAAAGGGTTGGAGAAATATCTGTAGGAAATTAATAATTACAAATTAGATACTAAAGGTTTAATCCTGGATTTATAGGGATTATGATGAAATGAGATGAAATGTAATCAAAATATCAGGTTACGTATTCAATCTCTGTGGAGCAGAGATCACAACTTTAATTTATACAGACTGTGGGCTCTGTGGAAGCTGCTTATCCATTCATCCTGTCTTGTTCACTACCAAAACAAACAAGACTCAGCCCAAACTCAGGTTCCTGATCTTAACCACAGCATGAGTAATCACAACTCCTTCAGTTCAGCATCCTTCAAGGCAGACAGACTCACTAGGAGAACTTGCAGCTAACACTAAAGAAAAATACAAAGCGTTGTGGGACAGACTTGATGATGTTGGAAGTCTTTTCCAACCTTAATAATTCCACGACCCCATGGTGTAAGCGTTGTGCACATGTGTTCAGAGGTGCCTGCAGGAGTGACTGAGGGAAGGAAGCTTTGCAGAAACTGCTGCAGCTCTCACAATCTGTGACAAGGCAGAGATAAAGAGCTTGTGCTGCAGGTCAGCTGGGGGCTCTTGTGTCCACAACATCTTTCTGAAAGCACAGCCTTATCCCAACTCTACTCCCACCTCTGCCAGGCTCTGGGACCCCAAATCTTTAGTTCTTTCCCCACTGGGAGCAGCAGCCAGCCAAGGTGTGCTGACAAACAAGCACTGGGCACAGGACACAGCTCCCAGGGCAGCAGCAATGGAACAGAGACACCACATTTTCTTCCTCTTAACCCCCACTGTGACACCCCAAGCCTAGAGAAATACTGTGTGTCTGCCCCATCCCTGAGAGTGTTCCAGGCCAGGTTGAACAGGGCTTGGAACACCCTGGGATAGTGGAAGAAGTCCCTGCCCATGGCAGGAGTGGGATGAGATGAGCTTTAAGGTCCCTTCCAACCAAAACTAGTCTGTGATTCTATGAAATGCACACAACTGACATTAATGCTGCTCTAAATGGTAAATTAAGAGAATAATGAACAAACTGGTTATTAAAATTTAGTTTCACCACCAACTCAATATAAATACATGAATAGTTTTTATTGTTTCTGAGTGATCATTACAGGACTGAATTAAAAGTATTAATTATGGGTGTGAATATTATTTGCACTCCTTATTCTGATGCATTTCGATCCTGGCATTTTGATTTTAGGGGGAAGAACGATGATGAAAATGTCCAAGTAAATTAAGAACGTTAAGAATGAAAAAGATTTGAGTAGGATCTGGACACACTGAAACCCTGGCCGAGACAAAAGGCAGATGTGTTGATTTTTTAATAATTCACCTAAATGCAGAATTTCATTCCTCAGTATGGCTCAGGAGGTTTGGTGTGCAGATCTGGGTGACTGCTTCAGGGAAACGAGGAGCTGCCTCAGCTGACTTCCCTGGGCTGCAGCTGAAGAGAACTGGGGAACAACTGAGGCTGGCAGGAACCTTTGGAAATCCTCCAATAAACCCCCTGCTCAAAGCAAGGCACCTGGAGCAGGCTGCTCATCCTGTCACCCAAACTCACCAGAAATCAGTCAAGTAAAACTCCTTAATGCCAATGTAGTGTTCAGAAGGGCATTCATCACTCATTACAGGCCTGGCTGCACCGGGGATAACTCCACCCTGTGTGCACGTGATCTCCTACAAGTGTGTTGCTTACATACAGTCACCACGTGCACATTTTGCTCATTGCCATAAAGCTCTCCCCAGTTTCCCAGGTTCAGTCCCTGTTTTGGCTGTGGCTGCATCCCTAAGCCAGATGTCTTCCCCTTATCTTCCAACCACCCTTGCTGAGAAAGCAGATCCTGCATACTCTGTTTCCTGCTAAAACTCCACAGGCACAGTAGAAATCAGATGAACCCTTCTGGTATCAACTCTAGCCAGGTTTCAGCATCTCCAAGGACAGAAACTTCACTGTCTCCTTGGACAAACTGTTCAACCACTCTCAGTATAAAACCACAACTGACTACAAAGTACAAATTTTCTCTGGAGACCCATGACACAGAGCTGTGCTCAAAATGCTGAGCTACAGCACTGTGGACAGGAGACAGCAACACTGGAACAGCAGCACAGCTAAAAGGTGGCTGAGATTTTAGTCCAACTTTACTGAGCTGATTGGATCCCTTACAGTAGAACATAAAACAAAAAAAAAAAGGAGAAAATTCTCAACAGGGAAGCACTACTTTCAGAAACATATATATCTCAAAGCCTATTGCTTCTCTGCAAGACAGTCAATACACTGCATTTTCCAGACCACCCTCCAACCATCAGCTTCCTCCATGAACACCCAAGGCACTTCCAATCCAAGCAAATCATACTCAAAGCAACCAAAGCAATTTTCTGTGGCAAAGCACAGTGTCTTCCATAGCCCTGGAAGCAGACAGGAAGCTGCAACTGCTCAATATTCCCATCAGTAAACTCTTGAGGCCTCGAGGGAAGGCAGAATCCTGCACAGGTTGCAATGCAGGAAGGAATCCCACAGAACCTCCTCATCAGAAATGAAATTTCCCTCTCTTATTGTAACACCTCCCTGCTGGAACCAACCATTCAGAGCTTTAATTAAGTTGCCAAATTCTATTTGTGTTCAGATATATAAACCACAGAACAGGGATCTGTTGAGACAGCACCTACCAACACCCACCTGGAACCTGCTGCTGCTGTCCCCTCACTGAAATCCAGTAGTGGAAACAGACACCAGAGTGCAGGTACCTTTAAACACTAACTTCAATATAAATTTTACAAATAAGATTTTTCTTTAACCATATTTTAATGCAACAGTTTCTTTACATAACACTGAGGACACATAGTGCACTATGTATTCATTCACACATGCTGCAGTGAAGGTACCACTGCCCAGCTGTGGGGGCACAGCTCCCCACACCACCACGGGAACAGGAGCAAGCCTTAAATGCATTTATTCCTCCTAACCTACCTGAATCTCTGTGCCTGGTGATGCACTGGCCCTCCAAACCGTCTAGCTGGTGAATGACACAGCTGCGACAACAGTGCCACATTTTTGTTCTGGTTAGGGTTGGCTGCAAACTTCACTGTAATGGGCTCGGAGGAACCTGGGGGTTTGTGACCATTGAAATTTGTAATTGCCTCTTCTGCTTCTGACCTTTTGTCAAACCGGATAAATGCGACCCCTCTGGACAAACCTTGTAACCAAACCAATAAAAAAACAAACAAACAAACAAACAAACAAAAAATTGAAGTTCAGGATAAACTCAAAATAACTTTGAAAACAAAACCCAAAAAAGTTTAGTATTTCTATGGTCACAGCTTTCAAGTTCTCTACATTTATATTTCTTCAGCAGCTGGAGGATAAAGTACAAAATTAAGAAACCAAAGACAAATTAGCACACTCATTTCAGCTATAACAACCACAGTGACTAAACACTTAAAAATTTGTGGTAGAATTCCATTATATTCATCATCAACTAACATTTCCATTTACAAAAAACTCCTCAACATTTTAAATTAAGTAAAAAAATAAAGGAATTAACTCCAGATGGTTAAAAACAAACCCAAACCCCTTAGTTTCAATTACTTTATCACTAAAGAGCATCTGCAAACACAGAATTTAAACATTTTTGCAAATGTTTTCATTTTTCCATGCTAGAAACACATTCAGGTTCAGAGATGAGGGAACAAATGTCTGACTATAATAAAGGACGTCCACCTTTTTTAATGGAGAGATCAGAATTTCACCATACACTATTTCCAGCTGGCACATAGATTATTTTTATTCATTAAAATCAATGAAGAATTACCTCTTGGTAGCTGGACTGAACCAATATCACAGCTGTTAAAAATTTGTGTATTTTTTTTTCCTAGTCCCAGTCCCTGGATGCTGATTCCTTCTGACTGAGGTACAAGTTCTGCCTTGTGAGCTCTCCTCTCCTCCCCTTGCTTCTTATCTGTGACTTGACCATAGGCTGAAAATATGGTTTATCACAGTGAAGCTAAAAGGGCACATTTTGTTTAAATGCCATTCCAAAGGAGGTATTGTGGCCAGGACTGTAAATGTAGGACTTCAATAACTCTGTTTCAGAATGGGACATATCAGATCCTTTGTTTTCTTCACATCCACCCAGGAACATCTTCAAAGCCAGATACAGAAGTTAATCTTATCATAAACCACAAAATCATAAACTGTTGTTGGTAACAGTTGAAGATCATTTTGTCTGTTTCACAGAAGGAAATGCAACATGTCAAGATCTGGGCCTGAAGCAAACAAGGTGTGATTGCCTTTTGACAAATAAAACACACGGGCTCACAGAGTACAGCTGCCAGCCCTGTGTGCTCAGGCACACTGAGATCAGCCCCCGTGCCAGGGGAAGGCCCAGGGCAGCAGCACCACTCAGAACTCAGCAAGGCTACCTCAGAGCTCAGCTTACTGGGACTCTTCCACTTTCAGGCTGCTCATCCTAGTGCTTCTCAAAGCATTCGTTTAAAATATAAATATTTTAGAAAGTGTATTTTCAAACAGAGTAATTTTCAAGAGCTGGAGTACCATCTCTGTGAGAAGGTACAGCTAAGTACAAATTAAAACCTGTCTGAAGTGGGAGCAGATCGAGATATGAGAGGCAGGCTTAAAGCCAAGGCATAGCCACATTCCTGGTGGGATGGCAAGCCAGGCTCTGCAGGCATTAACTGTGAGATGCAACAGAACCCACTCCTCAGTCAGTGCCTTATTAAGGCTATGGGAAAGCAGCTGGTGTGTTCTGAGCTCAATTACACAGCATCAGGCCTCAGCACACCCATGAAAACTGTATTATTCTTGGGGAGATTTTATTTGTATAACTTCTGTCATCTCATTTTACAGCTCTGTCAAATCCAGACACTCTCCAGATCCCAGAGATTGCCAGAGAGGGATGACTAGTTTTGAGACTTGCATTACTAAGTTTGCTGTGCTCCCCACGTCTCTTGCTTCTCACTACAGCTGCATCCTAGATAACCAGCTCTAGGGACAGGGCCATGCAGGTATCAGAGCTGGTCAAAACAAATAATATTCTCCAGGCAGGATGGGATTTTCCTTACTCAACCATGTCATGTCAGTCCCCTGATCTCACCAAGCCACCTCAGGTTTCTCTGATGCACAGTCACATTTGCAGCACCATCTGACCAAACACCTGCAAGTGGTGCCTGGACCAGGAGGTGGCTCTGATGGGGACACAGCCCTGCAGATCTCAGCCTGCACTCAGACTGAGCCCACCAGGAGCTGCTGGAGGCCCACTCCAAACTACAGCAGAGTTCTCACAGAGCAGGAAAGCTGCTTCTGAACTGAAGTGTATAAATGCACATCTCAGTTATAAATGTTAAATGTGGAATTGCTAGAATTGGATTGTCTTCTATTCCAATACACCAGATGCATAATCAATAAAAAAGTGTATCTGTAAAAGCGCTCTCCAGATTAATACATGACATATGGGCTACCAGTAAAACCACAGAACAGCTGGGTGACAGGATAAGCCAGACAGTTATACTGTCTGAAATAATAGGGTAAGAACTTAAAACTCTGAAAACTGAAAACACTGTAACAGAGTCACAACTGTCATCACAAAGAAAACCTTAACTTTGGTCTCCCCTGAGCCAAGTTCCTAAGTAAGTGGCTTCTCTCCTTTTTTTTTTTTTCTTTCTTTTGTTTTCTTTTTTTAATACACAAAATACATTTAGAACTTTCAGGGCAGTACTAAGTGTAGGAGATTAATTCCCTTGCTTAGCAGTAACCACAGAAGCCTGTAAGACATCTCACATGGTTTAAAATATAAGAAAATTGAGTGAGTTCCAGGCTGGTACAAAAGACAAAACACATTTTTGTTTTGCTTTAAATCTCTAACTATGGCCTGGAATTGACCAGTGGATAAGAGCTGCACGTGTGTAAAGTCAAAGTAAGGTCAGCACTCCAGGTTACACACATGGCCCAGAAACACAGTGCATTGCAGTGCCAGCATCAGAGCAAGAAAGTAATTTGGCAAATCAGTAGCTGATAAAAATTACAATAATCCTATTTTAACAAGGTCTGAGGTTTGGGCTGTAAACTGGAAAAGGCAATGTTGAGTCATTCTGTGTTTAAAAAAAAATCACTGAACATGGATATCCTGTCAAAATTCTATCACCAGTTGACAGCAGATGTCATGATTAACTTGTGGAAGTCTAATTTACTGAAGTTTAGGTACTGCCAGTCTCAGAAAACACCAAACACATGCTGTCCACTCCAGTTTCCCACAGCCAAGGCCCCAGAGCTCACCTGTGGTTTGATCCACGAGCACGCGTGAGTTGATGATGCGCCCAAAGCGGGAGAACATATCTTCTACATCCTTCTGTGTCATGGAGCGGGGCAGGCCACTGATGTACAGATTAGCATCCTTGATAACTTCAGAGCTTGGGCGGGCATAGGAAACCTTGGAAAGAAATAAAAACACATGCTCAGGCTATTAACAGGGAAGATCAATTTATTGTCATGAGCCAATTTAATTAACTTCCCCATTACCAACTGTGAAAAACGCCAATCACTTGTTTTTAAAATTTTTAAAAGTTTAATAGCAATAAAATGGTTAAAAATAATAGTAACACAATTAGAGTAATAACAATTTGGACAAACTGAATTAGGACAATATGAGACAATAAATACAAAGTTACGGACGTCCGGGTACCTTTTTCTGGGCATCACGAGCCCGAAAAGGACCCACATTAACAAAGGATTAACGCTTAAGAACAACAGCCTGTTGCATATTCATACACTTCATACATGATGCATGAAGTCTATTCAAACACAGGATTCTGTCTGGTCAGTGTCAACTTCTTCCCTCTAATCCTAACAGCGCCTTCAAGGTCGGAAGAAGTTGGTTTCATCTGATAAGAGAGCAATAAATTCCCTTTCTCTAAAAGATTTAGGTGTCCTGTGGCTGCTATCTCGCTGTAAGTCCTTTCTTTTAAACAAAGCATCTTACATAGCATAGTTTCTATTTTAACAATTTTTATAACCTGAAACTATATTTAACACAGTAAAGAAAATTAATACAGCATTGCTTTCTAACACAACACATATAATATTCATTTTAATATTTGCGAAAAGCCAATCATAAAATACATGCATTTTTCACACCAACACATGCATTTTTACTGGAGTTAAAAAGAATGGAACCGAGGGAGTAGGGGAAAATCAATCAAACAACAGGAAAAAGGGCATGTCCCTACATAATGCCACTCATTTTGGGCTAACCCAAGGGACAACAACTATATTAGCATTGCTGGAAGGAGACAGCAACACACCAACACCAATGCTCCCAGCAAACACTTCTGCCACGCCAAGAATCCTGAGTTCTGACTCAGCCACTGGCCCTGCCACAGCTCACATCAGGAACTGTCAGTATATTCTCCAAACTTCATGAAAATATGGCATGAGTAGGGCACAGTTTTCTAATTTCTACTACTGGAGAAAGCTGCATAACTCACCTAAGCAGGAGTGAGCCCTACCACAGGTTGTTGTTTGCACGTGTACTAACAAGATGTACAATAAATATTATGAAGCATCTAAGATGTGCATGAGTTCAACACCTGGCAACCATCTATAATGGTCCCTCTACTGCTGTAAAAATGGTGGGAATATAAAGAAAGGAAACCTTCAAATACTAAGCTGTTTCAAAACACTTCACTATTCTCCTCCCAGATCCATGCTTGCTGCAGCTGGGAGCACACAAACTTTACCATCAGAATAAAGTTTATTACAATGCTGTTTTCACAGACAACTGAAGAGCTCCTACCTTGATAGTTTTTGACTGAAGTCTGAGGCCATTCAGTGTGTTTATTGCTCTTTCAGCATCTTTTGCAGTTACGTAGTTCACGAAGCCGTAGCCTAAGCTGTGTCCTAAAGGGAAGAACATTTTTTAAAATTAATCCTAACAAAATTATGTTATCACTACTAAATTGAAAGGAAATGCAAACAAGAAGTGAATTTAACATACACAATCCACACAGCAAATATTACAGTGAGCCAAGGAGGTTTCCCAAGGCTGGCACACATCATGAGTAATTCAGAGTCTTTTATTTCCCCTCTGGACGTCTCTCTGCCTTCACAGACAGCAGGCACTGGACAGAGCACCCTTTAACAGGAAGAAATTTAGGGCTAAAACACCAACTCTGACCAGTCTTGCAAACTTCATGGGTGTGGAACAAAGGCAGTGACTTGACCAAGTCCATCAGTACAAAGTCTTGTGGATAGAGAGCACAAAGTGAGAAAATGTCAATGGATGAACTGTCAGGTGTCAAATGAGACCCTCGTGATTTCTTTGGCTATTCCAACCTCCACCCCGGGGACAAGAAGTTTCCAATCCTTCATTAACACAGCTAACAAGCAGCCAGTTTCCCAAACACAGCATCGCAGTGAAGAGTGAAAAATTCTCATTAAAGCAGACAATCCATGTACTGTTATCTTAATTAAATTTACTCTTAAAGAAATAATTTTATATTAATAATAAAAATCCTTAAAATATTTAAAGAAAAGGATATTTCTTTGGATACTTACATGTTTTGCTTTTACCTCCAATCTCCACAATTGCTACTATCAATTATAACATTACATACTAAGATAATTTTGGGTTGCAATTTCCCAAGAATTACAGGTTCTTATCAGTGTAGGCCTAAAAATAACTAAAATACTTTCAAGACTGTCTTAGAACAATAAAAAAGCTGCAATCCAACCCAAGACACACCTCTTTTAGCCAGCTTCTCCTTGTCTCTGTCAGATCTGTGGGATTTTCTAAAGAAAATTGCAAGCATGCATAGGAAAATGTGTTATTTTCCTCTAACAATATGCTGCTTTTAAGTTATTAAGTTCTATTGTGAGGCTTAAGGACACTAGAAGACAAAGCTAATTGTTATGGTAAAGGATTTTGAGGTGAAATAGCCCTTTTTAATCACACTGCATGGCTCTGCAATGGTCTTAGCTGACAAGGAAGTTTCCTTATGCTTTTCTGACATTCCAGAACACCAAATACAGACATGGGTGTCCAGTGATGATATCGTGGCACAAATGTCAGAGGAAATGAAGAAAAAGGCTGCAAGAGAACTGTAGATTAACTTCAGATACAGAAAAAAGGATGCCCAGTCTGCTGAGACATCGAGATTGCAAGTGTAAAATCCACAAGGGAATGGAAGGAAGGCCCAAATAACCCTCAGTGTTCTCATGCCAACAGACTGGCTGCAGAGCTGCACAGCTCCTGGCACAGCCTCTGCCTTTGGCTGCTTCCTTGTGAAAGCCAATCCAGCAGTAACTCAGCTGAACCCACACAATGCCAGAGCCTGCTGTCTAATACACCCTTTGTATAAACACTCACAGGTAATTTCTGCCTTCTGCTAAAACTCTTCGAGAAGCCAGATCCCCTGTGTTCAAGCCTCACACAGAAACAACATCCTGTTCCCTTAGAGACCTGGTGTTAAAGCAGCTCCAAATCAGCCTCTGTGACACCAGACACAGAACACAACTAACAGCAAACTGCTCTGTGCCAGCCAAGCAGGATTTAACTCCATCCTCTGGAGACCTACAGACAACAGCTGCAAAATTCTGATCAATGTGTCCAACATGTCCCCACAGCATGATTGCTGTGATTCCTTTATAACATTCCTTTTGTTTTATTGTGGTCAGTCATTGACATCAAATACAGTTGGTTCCCACCCACTTACCTGCTGAGATTATTTACCTCTGATCCAGAAAATGAGTAATTGAACAATTAGAAAAATGTTGTGCACCTTATTTCTCCAGACTAAGAAAACAAAAGTAAGCTTAAGAGGGAAAAGATACTAGGTGGAGAGTTGGCAATGACTTTTGCAATGATGAGAAGGATCCAACATCTCTCACAGGTCCAGCCCTGCTCTGAAGGCTCAGAGCAACAGCTGCTTTATGGATATTTTCAGTCTGTCTCAAAAGTCACATAAACATGAATATTCCAGCAAATTACTGAAGAGAACCAGGTCCTAATAAAAATTATGGAAATGGGCCCTTTAAGGGAAACACCCCAAACAAGACTAATCCCTCTAAGTGTGACCCAGAGTGAGCCCTGGAGGACTCACTGCCTGCATGGATGCTGCACTGGGGAGGACTGGGGGACTGTTTTCCTGACAGGTGAAGAAGAAAATGATTCCACTCATGAATCTATTATGTTGTCTTCAGTACACTGAGAGTTCTTCCCTTGCAACAAGTTCCCAGAGAACACAGCAGGCACAGAACTGTAGATCATGGCATGGTCTGGGCTTGAAAGGATCTCAGAGACAAGTTCATCCCACTCTCTGCCCCAGGCAAGGACACCTCCCATTGTCCCGGGTCACTCCCAGCCCTGCCCAGGCTGGCCTTGGGCACTGCCAGGGATCCAGGGGCAGCCCCAGCTGCTCTGGGAAATCCATTCCAGGGATGGATTCCACAATTCCCGATTCCCAATCTCCCACCCAGCCCTGCCCTGTGGCAGTGGGAGCCATTCCCTGTGTCCTGTCCCTGCAGGCCTTGTCCCCAGTCCCTCTGCAGCTCTCCTGGAGCCCCTTCAGGCCCCAAAAGGGGCTCTGAGGTGTCCCTGGAGCCTTCTCCTGTCCAGGTGAGCAGGCCCAGCTGTGCCAGGCTGGCTCCAGAGGGGCTCCAGCCCTGGCAGCATCTCCGTGGCTCCTCTGGTCTCACTCTAGCAGGTCCATGTCCTTCCTGTGCTGGTGTCTCCAAGGCTGGAGACAGCTCTGCAGGTGGGGTCTCACCAGAGTGGAACAGAGAGACAGAATCCCCCCTCTCCCCTGCTGCCCACACTCCTCTGTTTCCTTCCAAAGCATCACACAAGTTATGTGGTCATGCACGGTTTGAGATCAGTGACAAGGAATTTTAAGTTACTTATACACAGGATAAACCAGACCTGAATTGCAACACCCACGGACACCCAGGAGTAAAAAGGCACCTCATGACCTGGGCCCAGTCCTGGAATCAGAAACTGTGCCCTAACACACACATGCACACGCCCACACTAAAAGCAGCCTGCCAGGCACTCTGGAAGCACATTCTACAGCATCCTGCCAAGGCTTCCCTTTTACAAACTCAGGTGTACATATTCTGTGTCCACTTGTTCCTGTACAAGTCCTACCCCGGACCTCACACACATCCTTCCAAGTGTCTGTCCCCAAAGTGCCATAACAGCAACTGTAGCATTTTTGTCTGGCCTTCTTTTCTGTTTCTGTCAGAGCAAAACTCTGCATCTTTTTCACTTCCAGTTTTATACAGGTTCTTCAGTGACTATTCCTTATCCAACAATTTAAATATCCTGGGAAGTGAGGGGGCAGGGATGTAACAGTTTACCCAAACAAACACTGACTAAAAGAAGGCGGCTCTGAAAGTGGCAGGATCACAGAGGTTCATTCTCACATTCCCTCCAGGCATTTGACTGTAAGTTTGTACTGAACCCCAATATTACAGTCCTATAGCTTTTACCTGACAATAGGTAAGACTATCACTTACCTGTATTTCTCTACAATAATCTAGAATGTAGACCATCCCTTTTCATCTGTACTTACCCCCTTTAAACTACAGTAGTATAACATGCCCTTATAGTCCCTAAGTGCTAGAAAAGCCCAATCCATTCAGGACTGAGAACATATGTTAACTTACATTGCTCTAAAACACCCAATAGCACCAGCCTCAGCCATCTCCTCCCTCTCAGTGCCTGGTGTTCATCTCTGCACAGGCTGGGCCAACACACAGCAGCCCTGTCACTGCAGGGGACATGTCCACCTCACAGATGCCCATGCAGGAATGCTCTTTGCTTCCTCATTTTACTCCAAAACAGAACAATCTACCTCTGTGCTGAGGATGACAGGAAATATATAAGGAATTGGCATTTACACAATATTATGACTGCTGTCAAGTGTTTACCCCAGGCAAGGAGGGAAGTTTTGCTTTCTCCTGATGTTCCCTGCCTGCTACAGAAACCTGCAGCACAAAAGAAATTGGTGATGTAACAGTTTTCAAAATATTTTAGTGGACAATTTAAAAGTTTGCATATACATAAATATAAATTCACTCAAGAGAGAAAGCTAAAAAAGAGCAACAAGTAGGTCCTTATCTGCACAAATAATTAACAAAGTAACTACAAACCTAGTTTTAAGCAAAATACTACACTCCTTCAGCAGAAAGAATCAAGTTTTGTTTCCATGATAAAAGGCCCTTTCAGGAGAGAGGGCACTGCTTTTCTTTCCAAGCATCACTTGGGTTTCTGTCCGTGTCCCTGCTTCCTTTCCCAGCTCCTGAGACACACAGCTTCAGTCACCAGCTCCTTCCTCATTCCCAGCCCAGTGCTGACACCTCCAGCTTCACTGAGGAGTCTGATACACACCGGACACTTCACTGAGAGCAGCTAACTCAGATCCTCCCCTCCTGTCCTCCACAGAAACCCCAAAATCAAACCTGGCTCCTGTTATGTCAGTGCACCTCAGCATGATGGCAACTTAGTTTAGAACTTGTTTTCTGAACTGGGAATCAGTTTTTGGAGGACGTGAGCTGGGTTTGAGTTTTTTGTTTGGCTTTACAAACCTTGTCAGGAGTGATACCCAGAGAGCTTAAATAGGTGTGAATGCATCGAGAAGCACCACAAAAATACCAGGCATCAGCAGAATTCAAAGCAGCGGCTGTTTGAGGACTAGAACAGTTTAAAGTGCTCAGATGTGCAGATGTGCCTTGCGTGGGCATCTTTAGCACAGTTACACTGTTGTACAACCAGGGCTCCACAATCACATCAGTCCACAACCATCCTGCACAAACTTCCCCATGAGGGCTCTGACAGGGAAGTGCAGCAAGGCAGGACTGGCAGAGACTGCACCCTGACTGCAGAGTGAGCCCCAGCACAC